AATGTACAAATGTGCTTTACACAATTGATGTATGTATGGATTGTGATAAGAGTTGTGAGCCCCTAATAAAATGATTTTTTTTTTAAAGAAAAGAAAATGGCCCCTCAGCTGGACTCTGATCAACAGGAAGAGAGTCCAAGAACTGGACATCAAACGCCTATGGAACAGACTTCCTGGACACACCGAGCCAGGGGAAACCTAATGCCCGGGAATCATCTTTAGCCCTGGAACAGAAACGACGGCCCTGCCTGTGAAACCACCTTTAAATGAGCAAGTCCAGCCGACTACGCAGAGCAAGTGCTACGCAGAGTGTGAGCTGACAACGTCCACCTGAGGAACTGATGCAACTGGAGGGGCAGGGCGGCCTGAATGGGGATGAGACCATGTGGGCAGAGGCCTCGTGAAGGAGACACCCTGCGAAGGATGCACCAGTGTCCCTGGCCTGCTTGCGTGGGACCCGGGAATGGGTTTGGATGGGTATCGGGGCCCCCCCAAAATAAAATGATGCTGTTGTTTTTAATATCCGTTAAAGGAGATTTTAGAGAAAAACCCTCTTCTGTGTGGTTCCTGTTTCTGACTCCTCCACACTGCAGGGCTGGGGGTCGAGGAAGAGGGTTACCACAGGAAGGGGGCAGGAGTCAGGTATCAGTCAACCAAAAACGACTATCAGAACACCTCTTTCTACATCAGGGGCCGGTGTGAGGATGAGAGAGAGTGGTCAGGGTGAGACCGAGGCTCTGTGTTAAATGGCCTCGGAGAGGTCAATGAGCCCAAAGGACTGTGTGTATGTGTGTGTGTCCCACTGCTTCCTGTAGGACTCACCGCTGTCCCCACCAGTGTGTGAAGTGGGTCACACCAGAATTGGGAATAAATGCTGAGCCAACACACCATTTTTTGTACATAAAACAAAATTTCAAGAGAGGAATCGTCTGAGAGTAGGAGAGATAATAAAACCCTAATTGTGGAATCCATGATGACTCCTGGTAACCCACGGGTGTCGGAGTAGAACTGGCCCGTAGGGTTTTCATTGGCTGGATTTGTACTGCCAGGCCTTTCTTCGGAGCTACTTCCAGGACCAGTGGTGTGAGTAGTGAAACAGGGAGGGTAAAGGGAGAATGGGTAGGAAAGAGGGAACCGATTACAAGGAACTG